TATCAACTACAAATCCGCGCGAAGCGCTCGATCAGTATCCCGAGAGGCCTTTTCAGCGGCCAGCTACTACACAATTGGTAGGTATCGAGACCTTGGACGTGTTTGCAATCCTGTTATCATCAGCTCGACTCCAACGATCCACAAAAAGTGGATATCGGGATAGATGACTGTCATTGCAGGAAAACTCGAGTCAAAATGTAGCTGTGGCTGCCTGGGAAGACTCTGTGCCCGAAAACCTAAAGACATCTAGGCGCTTGCGTGGGCGGCACGTGACATGACGTGGACTGCGCACCCTCAGCCCCGGGGTAGGCAATGGTAGGCACAGGCTTGTGTATGGGGCCGTAAGGGGGTGCACATTACGGCACTCATATCAGCTACAAATACGCGCGAAGCACTTGTTCAGCATGGCATTGGGTGGGTGGGTAGTAATCAGCTTGCTGTCAGGAGGTGTTAGGAAGGGGTTAATTATACGCGGGGAAGGGGAGGGTGAAGGGAGGGGAGGGGAGGGAAAGACGAACCCACGAACGAGTGAAGGTGCTGCCAGGGCAAGAGTGTACCAGACGTAGAACTGACCAAAAAGGGAGGGGAGGGGAGGGAAATCTTCCCATAAAGATGATGATGATGATGATGATGATGATGATGATGATGATGATGATGATGAAGATGAAATTGCAAAAATTAGGGAGGGAAAGAGAGAGAAAGGGAGGGACCACTGCGGACGCGCCTCCATGCGAGCACTGGGGATGGAGGAAGGGACATGCAGAAAGACATACAGAGCCACAAGCAGGTACTGTATCTTGTACCTCGACCCTCGCATACATACATACACACATACATACATACATACATACATACATGCACGCACACGCACCGCACCTCGAACTGGTCCGAACTGATCATCAGCCGCTCCAGCAGCAACATGGACGCCCCGTAGGCGATCAGGCAGTCGCGCTCCATCTCCCCCAACCGCAACCCGCCATCCCGGGAGCGCCCCTCCGTGGGCTGCCGGGTCAGCACCACACGCGGCCCCCGAGCTCGCGCGTGCATCTTGTCCAGCACCATATGCTTCAGCTTCTGGTAGTAGACGGGACCCATGAAGATGTAGGCCTCCAAGGGCTCGCCTGGAGAGACGGAAGGGGGGGGGGAGGGACGACGAACCATGAGAGGGTGAAGGTGATGCGGCAAGGGGGAAAGACTGATGCGCCACAGAAGTAAAGAAGGCCAGAAGTTAAGGGGGGGGAGGGAGGGAGGGAGGAAGGGGGGTAATACGGATCGCGGACGAGCGCAGCAGATATTCAGAGAGGGAGAGAGGAAACGGGAGGCGGGGAGAAGGGGAAACACTTCAAGTGCTGTTACTGATGTTGTTGCTCCTGCTGCAGCAGTAGCAGGAGCAACAGCAGCTGCTGCAGCTGCTGCTGCTACTGCGCACCTGTGATGCCG